AGTGCGATACACTTGGCGAAGAATTCAGCATTTCATTCTAGAACGAAGCATATTGCGCTTCGGTACCACTTCATCAGATCCCTGTTGGAAGATGACGTGTTGAAACTGGAAAAGATTCCAGGAAGTAAGAATCCAGCAGACATGTTAACAAAGACGGTGACAGTTCAGAAACTGGAGTTGTGCGCAACTTCAGTTGACCTTCATGCATAGATGATGAGGGCGGAGCCACACAGGAGAGGAGCGTGATGAGATAGCCCGTCGGCGTCGGTTTGGTCTCCAAGTGGGAGATTGTTAGAATTGGGGGTGGAAACCTCAACCCTCACCGCAACTTTAGAGTTTTGGTGAAGTAAAAGCATCCTTTCACCTTTGACAAAACTTATATCTAGCAATTAACAAAAAAGAACTCTACCTAAAAATCGATAAATAACACATAATGGCTTTAATGGCAGTCTTAAAAAGACTAGTTGTTTCGTAATCAGAAAAAAATGATCAAATTGTCATTTTTCATTGAATTATAGATATTATGATATAGTCTACGAGACTATCACCGTGCCGACATAACAACCATATTCTATCAAACTAGAATACCTTCAAGAGAGTTTACCATGATCTTTCTTTTGGGGTTAATTTCACATGTTAACTTCGAAGGATGCGGAGGTTAAAATATATGCTCGCAATTGAAATTTTTAACTAGGATATTTCTAATAATATTTACTACGTAATTGTAAGGAATTCTAGATGAAAGCTGAATATTTCTCACGCTCGACGCAGCTGAATCATTAATAGTATCTAAACTCAACTACAAAAGTATAACTCTTTACAATGAATATGGCATTCAGAAGCTACAAACAACTTGTTGATTCAACCCTACAGTCTGCGAAGAGCAAGGAGAATGACAGTGGTTGAATACAGTATCTAACAACACCCTGTCCATAGCTTTAGACCCTCGTCTTCTGATTAAAGATAGACTATACTCCATGAACACTGCATCACAAGGCACTATGATCGGACCGTCACGTGGTAGCCCATGCTCATCTTCAGATATCTTTAAGAGTTCTACAAAAATAATGCTCTCCAAATATCTCAAAGGAACCATGAACCTCTTCGCATCTGAGGTATATACAATAAAGTGGCCTTTTCTGCCAAAGATGTGCTGCTCACGTTTGAATCAAGTTCCGCATCAGTCTATGCCCCAATCCTTCTGGCCAACGCAGCCACCTTTCGCCACTTCTTTGCCATCTCAATCAGCTTCTTGGAGTTCACCATTGTTGATATCTCGATATCACTCTATTTCGAATTCTACTTTTCTGAGTCTGTGTCTGTGATGGGATGAGTAGCAGGGCACCTGCGTACTTATAGAAATTTGGAGCGGACCCATGATAAGCTGTAGAAATTTGTTCGCAGTTTGGAAGAGGAAACAAAGCCATGTGCTTCGTACGTAAGATGCTGCGATTTGAAGAAAGATGTTTGGGTTCGGTTAGGGAGTTGCTTTCCACAGTATCAGACATAAGTTAATGGCTAGTGAAGAATTTTGCTCTAGTTCTTGGTAATATTGTAGGACATGCCGGGTCCAGCCAATTTCTTCACCATTTCTTTCCATTCTCTTATATAATCCTTGCTCCAAGCAGAGCTAAATGTCATGATTAGGTGAGCAGTGATTCTAGTGAAGTCTATATTTTCGGACATTAGGGGGAAGATAGTTCACGTGCTAAGAGCCTACACAGAGCATTTCAAGAATAAAAATACACACAAATGATGCAACATAAATGAGAAGCAGTAGCATGGAATGCTGCTTCGAAAGATAACCAACTTCAGAGCCTACACAGAGCATTTCAAGAATAAAAATACACACATATGATGCAACATAAATGAGAAGCAGTAGCATGTGTTAGAATTGGGGGTGGAAATCAACCTCCGCCGGCGACGAGGAGCTCCGACGAGCTCGGAGATGTCGCGACCCTCAGTCGAAGACGCGACCCTCGAGCGAAACGCGACCCTCAGCCACGACGAACGCGACCCTCGATTTGGCGGCGACGCTCGCGTCCCACTTGTGCGCTGGTGACAGGCTGTCGCCAGCCCCATCGGATCCGCCTATAAAAGCCCACCTTTGGCCCTAGGGTTTGATGCTGCCGAAGCTTCTCTCCCCCCCTTTGTCCGATTTTTCTTCTGGCGGCGGAACTCCCAGAAACGCAGCAGCGTTCTCTTCTTCTCCCATTGAAATCGCAGCAGCGATTTGGGCTTTTTCTCCAGCTCTCAATTGTGAGTTTTGAGGGGAGATTAGAAAGAGATTAGAGAGAGAGAGAGAAGAAAAGAGTGGGGTTTTATTGTGGACATTCACTTATTCTCAAGTGATAAATTGAAAGGGTTTATTCCCTTTAATCATTAACACTGTTGCTACAGTGTTCATTTGAGAAATCCCAGTTTAGGGATTTGCTCTTCAATTGTAATTTCTTGTTTGATTAATAAGAAATTATCTGTGTGGCTCCCGAGGACGTAGGCAGTTGCCGAACCTCGTTAAATCTTGGTGTACTTTTTCTATACTACGTTTCTGTTGCATTAGGGATTTAGGCGGTTAAATTCCTAACAACTGGTATCAGAGCGTGAAACGATCTAGAACAAGTCAGATTCAAGTGGGAGCCATGGCCACAGATGAGGCAAAAATGAGACTTGAGAAATTTGATGGAACAGATTTCGGATTCTGGAAAATGCAGATAGAGGATTATCTGTATCAGAAAAATCTGTATCAACCACTATCGGGGAAGAAGCCAGATTCTATGAAGGAAGAAGAGTGGAACCTTCTAGATAGACAAGCCCTCGGAGTTATCAGATTGACGTTGACTCGCAATGTTGCGTTCAACATAGCGAAGGAGAAGACCACGGCAGGTCTTATGGCAGCACTCTCAAACATGTATGAGAAGCCATCAGCCGCGAACAAAGTTCATTTGATGCGGCGGTTATTCAATCTGAAAATGGCGGAAGGCGCGTCAGTAGCACAACACCTCAATGAACTTAATACGGTTACAACCCAATTGAGTTCAGTTGAGATTGAATTTGATGATGAAGTTCGGGCGTTGATACTTTTGTCTTTCCTACCAGAGAGTTGGTGCATATACACTGTCTCTTCCAAGTCACCATGTAAAAAAGCATTTTTAACGTCCAATTGGTGTATGGGCCAAGACCGCGACACAGCTAAACTGAGCACCGTGCGAATTGTAGTAGGTTTGACAACTGGGCTAAATGTTTCATCACAATCAATCCCTACTTGCTGTGTTTTACCATTGACCACTAAGCGGGCCTTGTATCGCTGTAATGAACCATCTGCATGAAATTTATGATGAAACAACCACATACAACGGATAATAGAGGCATTGTCAGGGCGGGGGACCAAGTCCCAAGTATGATTATCCCGTAATGCGGTAAATGTAGGTGCAGGGTGAGTAGGGTTGACGTGGGGAGAGGATTGGGGGGTATGTGGTGGTGGTGAGGGTGTAGGTGTTTGAGGGGAGGTGGGTTCGGTGTTGGGTGGTGGTTGGTCAGTGTTGGGTGGTGTTGGTTCGTTAGTGGAAGGTGTAAAGGAGTCAAATAAAAGGGGGTTGGGGTTGCTGTCGAGAAAGGCGTAGGAGTGTGGTGTGGAGGGGGACTTTTCTGCGAACGGGAAAGTGCTTTCATCGAAGATGACATGACGAGAGATGATGGTTTTGCCCGTGTGGAGGTCGAGGCAGCGATAGCCGCGTTGGTTAGGAGGGTACCCCAAAAAAACACATTGTTTAGCTCGAGGGGCAAGCTTGTGTGGTCGTGTAGCAGAAGTATTTGGGTAACAAGTGCAACCGAAGACACGAAGATGGTCATAAGAGGGGTGTTTGAGATAGAGAGCGGAAGTGGGAGTTAGGTAATTAAGAGTGGTGGTGGGGAGGATATTGTGGAGGTGAGTGGCGACGTGGAGAGCTTCGACCCAATATTGGGGAGGTACTGATGCGTGATTAAGGAGGACAAGGGTGATGTCATTGAGTCGTTGTATCATACGTTCGGATTTCCCGTTTTGTGAAGAAGTTTGTGGACATGAAAAACGAAAAACGAGGCCATGGTTTATAGCGAAGTTGTGAAAGGAATTATTATCGAACTCACGACCCAAATCACATTGAAAGGTTTTTATTTGACGATTAAATTGTGTCTTGACAAAATTATTGAATTGGAGGAATCGGTCAAACACTTGTGACTTATATTGAAGGGGATAAATCCAAACAAATTGAGTGAAATTGTCAATTAACACCATATAATATTTGTGACCATGTTTGCTTGGTATAGGGGACGTCCATAAGTCGCTGTGGACGATATCAAACGGAGCAATGGTTTGAGAATGAGAATCATAAAAAGGAGGCCGCTTGTGTTTGCTAATATGACAGGAAGAACAAGAATTGAAGTGATGAAATTTATTACACGCAATACTTTGACGACATTTTAAAAAATGTAACACAGGAGCCCCGGGATGACCGAGACGGGAATGCCACACATCTGGACCGTGGACAAGGAAAGCTTGAGGTTGACTTTTGGAGGAACTGGATGTTGTTGAAGAGGGTAGGGTGGACACGGGGTAGAGCTCGCCATCACTGTCACTCCGCAAAATCATTTTCCCAGTCGGAATATCCTTCACAGAAAAGCCAAACGGATCAAATTCCACACTAACATTGTTATCTTTCGTAAACTGGCGGATTGAAATTAAATTTTTAATTATGTTGGGCGTGTGAAGAACGTGGCGAAGGTGAAGGGAACGGGAGGTGGTAGGTATCATAGAGGTGCCCGATCCCGCAACTGGAATACTATTGCCATTTCCGACATAAATAGAACGAATATTACTCGTATTAAACGGGGAAGAAATCATACCTGGCTCAGCGGTCATATGAGAAGAAGCACCCGTATCCATGAACCACGGGTCAACTTGGGACTGAACTGAAAGAGCCTGAAACGCCTGACTGAGGTCCGTTGGTTGAGAGGCCTCATTATCAGTGACGAACGCCTGTCCTTGATGTCGTGGCTGCTGTCCACGAAACATTGGTCGAGTCTGGGGCATGGCGTGAGATGGCCACGGCTGTACCCGCCGCGGCAGGAGTAGCAAGGGCAGTGGCAGAATCTTCAGTGCCAGATTTGCGATGGAGTTCGAGTTCCAGCATACTTCTTGCGGTCTCGAAATTAGGAGAGGTCTGATTGATGAAAGATGCAACGGTATCGTATTCAGAGGGCAGGCCACGTACCAACTGAATTACGAGGCGGCGGTCGGTGACGGGGGCATCTACATCTTTAAGCATCCCGGCAATCTCGCGAAGGCGTTGACAATAGGCCTCGAGCGAGGGCATATTTCCCAGTCGAAGAGAGTTAAACTCCGATTCGAGGGCGGCGGCGCGAGCCCCTTTATTGTTGTTGAAGATATTTGCAACCCGAACCCAAGCCTCACGGGCAGTGGATTCGTCTTCAAGAACACGAGGAAGGAGGTCGTCGCTTAGTGTACCGTAAATCCATTGGAGCACGTGCGCATCGACTTCAGACCATGATTCGTAGGAATCATCCGTCTCGGCAGGGGAAGGAGTGCCATCGATGTGAGACACAACCTTGTACCCTCGGGCATGGAGTTTAAATAGGCGAACCCACGACGCATATGTGACCTTCGTGCCGTCGAGGACACGAACTTTATTCTGGATATTGGTTACGGTGAACACCGGATGCAAGCCGGGTTTGGGGGATGGTGTTTCGGTTGTCATGGAGGTTTGTGCGTGAGGCAGAGGAACGGTGTTACTTCGAAAAAAATAACACAACGGCACAGGCAGGATACGTGAATAGATCGAAATCCTATTCAAAGCTCTGATACCATGTCAGATTTTTGTAATCCCCTGAATTGGGTTGCTGATTCTCATTCATATATATACCATGAATACAAACAATATTCCCTATAATTAGGAGATATGCCAAACTAATATGCAATATTCTAGGAGCTAATTAAGGAGACTATAATTACAAAATATTCTGCAATATTCTAGGAGCTAATTAAGGAGATTATAATTACAAAATATTCACATAATAATTACTTGCTAACACTTATCACGCCTATCAAAATGTTGCTGGTTCTGAGAAACAAGAATAATGTTTCGTTATTAAAAGGGCTTGGCCTATTCTCAACATGGAATAACTTCCCACAAAAACTTGATCCTAGAGCCACATCCTTAGACCATATCTGTTTGTTTAGGGCCAGCATTGGAAAGCATTATTCATTTAGTTCTTAGTATCAAAATGTTTTTTTCGTCGTCGCAAGAAGATGCAGTGCAGATTCTTCATCAGCTGAACTTAATATCTTTCTCCATTATTACCACCAGGAGGTTTTCTTAGACATCAACTGCCGTGTTTCGACTGCTTCAAAATTTAAGAAAGTGTTCTCTAGAAATATTGTACACCCTCATGGTGATTTGTCCGAACAACTGATATACTTTGAGGAACATCTATTTAATTTACAGGTCAGGTGGAGAAACAATAATAACACTAGGTATTATTGGAATTTGGTTGTGGTTCCTTTTCCTTGAGGTCAGCACTGTAGGAGGTGCGAGGACTAGGTTTGCAGGCTTAGTTTCTTACCTTCTGGTGAGTACTACTGCAGCCCGATAGTTTCTGATCAAGCAATGCTGTCGATGGATTTGTTATTGGAGGCTGCAAACAGAATTTATTTTGAGGATATTCAAACCATTGGCCTATTACATATATATAGTCACATTTTCAGCTTCTTGTTTGCTTGTTCTGGTAATTTGCCTCGGTTCCCGTCGAGAAGTAGCGAAAATCATTCAATTGTTGCACCTTGGAAGCTCTCACTCTGCTCTTTGATTCCTTAAGTAGAAGAGACCGCTCATTTGCACCTTTTTCTGATTTAATTCGGTTGGAAATGTCTCTTATCGCGACCAAATTAAGCTGGGGATGCGGTATTGTCTTTTGTTCGATCCCTTTGAGCTTAAACATCTAAAAAGCTCAAGGACCTCATTACATGCAAAGGCAAGGAATTTAGATGGAAGCCTACACGGTTGATCTGTTTGTTTTGTAGGAGGTCACAAACTTAGAGATGCAAACGGACTATTTTTCTCTCATGTCTGGTCACCAGTCATAGAGCATGCAGACCGGATAGTGGACTGTTCCACAGACAATCCAACCATTAACCTTTGTCGTTCAATTATTGAAACAAGGTCTTCAATTTAGTACTTTACTCGCTCAAGACCTCTAGTATTGCCGCATGCTCTAAAGCTTCGACTCGCTCAAGGACTCTAGCGCATGCATGCACCTCTTAGAGACATGGTCATGTGCATCACTGGGGAAAATATTAATGGAGGATCAGTTCTTGGTCACCATCATTTTGTTTCGCTGGATTCTCAAAGTCAATGAACTTTCGCAGGTACCACCTCTGTAAACTGTGGTGTTCAAAAGGATCTCAGATGGATGAACCATGAAATTAGAAGAGACCAATTTCAATGCTAGAAAGCCTAGAACACAACAGAAGTCTCCTGTATATGCTAAAGTTTGACATCATAGAAAATCTACCCCACATAAAAGCCACACTACTACCATTTGTTTAGGGTTCTTCTCTCTCTACATCTACAAGTGAAAAGCTTCTATAATGGAGAGTAGTTATGCCCTCCACTCAAGTGCGTTTGAAGGTGTTATCTATCTAGGGAAGGGTAGATTCCTTGGTTTTTATTTTATTTTTTCCCACCCCCTCCTTTCTCTTTCTTACTTCTCATTTCCTCCCACTCAAAATAGCTTATGGACATGGGGAAGGTTGTATCTGTCTAAATTGCAAACATGAAACCTTTGGTTGGCTTTTGTGAAGTCAAAACTTTAAAGCACTTGGGTGATTGCTCTTCAGTTCTATCAACAAACTCCACTAGGGTAGAAGGAATGTGAAATGGAACAGATGGGGGATGATCACAACATGAGCTCTCTAGTTGTCTAGTGTCAAATCCAGTAAGAAAGCAAATCATTGGCTAATACAGCTGAATAGGACAGCTGAGTAGGTTTCTTTCCGATCTTAATTACATCGTATAGGTCTTTTATATTTGACCTTTGGTCAACCTGAAAGGTCATTGTCTCTTGACATCTTGTGGAGTATTGTGTTTTCCTGAGATAAAAGAATGATTTGAGGTTGATTTGTTCTTTTTTTTTTCCTCCATACAAATTGATGTGTGTTATTTTTGTTGCGTCCAGCGGAAGCGGACTCAATCCACAACAAGTCGGTAAGCAATGCACAAAGAACACAATGAGCCAATCCACAATCCAAACAATCGAGATCAATCCCAAACACAAAGAATTATATGGTTCGGCAAGATGCCTACTGTAGAAACGACGAAAACATTGGAGAAGAACAATATTTTTAGAGCTGACAGACATTTGGGTGCTCTCTAGTTGACCGCGAGCTTTGACACGGTCGATCGGCAACGTGCACGACTTGGGACAGATTCTGGATCTTTGGCCAGTCGACCATGATAATTTCGACGGTTGATCGCCAAACCATGTTATGGTTTTCTGGATTTTGTCGTTCTATCCGGTCGACCGCAAGCTTTGGCGCGATCGACCACGAGTTGGGTTCGGGTCTGTTTTGGTTTCCTATTCTGTTTGGAATTTGTGTTTGGTATAAATAGCAACACACGTTTTAGGGTTTCTTTGGTGCAGTATTGGGATTGAATTAGGGATATTTAGAGCACAGACAAGAAGTATTTTATGAGCTATTAGTTAGGGTTTTGTTTGGAGAGAATTAGAGATTTATTGGTGAGATTAGTTGGTTGGTTTGAGTAATTTGTAATCTCAGTTTGTACTCTTCTTCTCTATTAGTGAAAACCACATCCCCTTCTTGCCTCGTGGACGTAGGCAACTTGTCGAACCACGTTAAAATTGGTTGTTTGTGTTTGTGGTATTACTTTGGTTTGTTTGGCCTTCTCTCGGTGTTTCGTTTGGTTCCTCGAAGCACATCGGTTTTGACTTCCGCACACAACAAGTGGTATCAGAGTTTTGGCTACGCTTGGAATAATTAGAGGAATAGATCGTTTTGGAAGCTCGTCTAGGGTTTCAGTTGGTGATAAAGGTGAGATTTATCCTATTTGTGGATCTCGTTTCCGTCGTGCGGGGTGAGATCTTTCGGAGACTCTTGTTAGGGTTTCAATTGGAGGTAAAAATCTCTCATTTATCAGTTTGGATCTATTCTTTGTTTGTTCCGCATTAGTTTGTTGGTGCTTTGAGATAGATTGCCGAGAAAGGAGTTGGGACTGGGATATTGGATTATTGAGAAGTGCTTTGACCTGCATATTAAAGTCCTTTGAGTACATTGGTATGAGCAAGGAGACCGAGGTGGAGTTTGGCACTTCTATTCGACGATTGAGAGGTCTTCTAGATGGTGTTCATTCAGGTATTTGGAGACTTTCCAAGGAGACATCATTGGGAGATAATCGATATTTGGTTTTCGCAAGTGGGGATTGTTCTAGGCATTGGTGGGTTGCAATCAAGTCTCGTTGGTGTGAAGTCCTAGAAGTCAATAACAGATGGAGGAAGTGTATTGGCAGAAAGGTGATCCATTGTTCTGATTTTGGTAGGGGTCCTTTCTTGCATTTGTGCCGAGCTCACGGCAGTTTGAGACATTTCATTGGAGAGGAAACATTAGAGCGACGAGATGAGATGACAGTTTTGATGAGTCATTCCTTGCTGGAGGAGGATCGGTATTGGTTGTCGAGCATTGGATTACAGATGAGTTTTGGAGCTTCGACATATTTGAGTCATCTTAGTCATAGGTTGCCGACTGCTGCGTTTGGAGTTATTGGATCTGGTGGAACTGTTTTAGATTTTGGGTTACGTCGGATGTTTGGTTGCCCAGCATTTGGTCACATCGAGGATGTGAGATTTGATCTGATTGCACGTTTAGGATTCAGATGCTCGTTTGGTTATCAGTTGGGAGATTCTGATTTTGTTCTGAGCAGGTATGTCACATTTGACTCTCGGCAGGTGGAGAGTGTTGATCAGATCGTTGGGATATCATAGCGGGTGGAGTGTGATGCTACTCCACATTAGGTGGAGATTACTCCACATACTCCAGATTATACTGTATTATTTGGGATTTCAGCTGAGGTGACACAGTTTGGGGATCATTTGGATTTGGATGAAGATGATGAGTTGGTTGATTCGAATGTAGCTGGTGGACATAGTTTCGATTTGGATATGGCCGTTGGTTCATCACAGGTGAAGGTGTTTAGTTTGTTTCATTTTGGGGCTATTAGGAGAGTTATCAGTTGCATATTCGTTGGTAATGTTGGAGAAGGGTTGTGAACTCTTCTATTTGATTGAGGGTCTATGGAGGCCGTTGGGTGAATTACGTGAATGCTTAATTCATTAGGCAACATGATACGTAGCCATTTATGATGCATGCGATTTGGTGAGTTGATACCGACGTTTGGAGAGTGATAACATTCTTATTTGGGTCGACTTGTTGTGGATTGAGTCCGTTATCGTGAATTTGTTTTCACTTCATACTGGACGCAACAAGTGGGACATTTGGTTCAGTTGGTGTCGGTTCAGTTTTGGGAAAACTTCGCCGAGATGGAGAATTGTAGAAATGACGAAAACATTGGAGAAGAATATGATTTTTGGAGCTAACAGATATTTGGGTGCTCTCCAGTCCACCGTGAGCTTTGGCGCAGTCGACCGGCAACGTGCATGACTTGGTACAAATTCTGGATCTTTGGCC